AGAGCACAATTTTGCTACTTTGGCTTATAATCCACCTTTAATTTTTGATGGCTGGGTGTTCGTGTTCGTTCTGACATCCGCCGCAACGCTTCCCAACACTCAAGCACTGGACGCGGACTTGCCAGCGACAGCAACGCTCTTCTTTACAAGACGCAGCCCGCCAACCAGCATGACCAGGGCCTCGAAACCGAGAATGACGGCCAGCGTCACGAGGGCACCAATGACACCAGCGACCGCCTTGGACACACCGCCGCCACCGTTGTTGTTGTTGCCCTGCGTGGTCGCGCTGCCGGAGGACGAGCCGGTGCCGAGCGCGGCGGGATCGCAGACGCCCGTGGTGTTGCCGCAGGCGCTGCACCAGGCGGCGGTGTCGGCGACGGCAATCTTGTTCATCTCGGCGGTGAAGGTGGTCCAGGGCAGGACGAGCTCGGACTGGCCAAAGAGCGGGTAGGCCGTCAGGCCGCCGGGGGTGAGGCCGGCGGAGCCGTTGGAGAACAAGAAGCGCACGGACAGGTCGGCCGGGTCGAGGGCGGCGGTGGCGGCGGTGGCGTCGGTGACGCTGGCGTTGGTGACAATCTCAAAGACCATGGCGGAGGCGTAGTCGACGATGCCGTAAAAGTCGGGGCTGGCGGCGGTCAGGCTGGCGAGGCCGAAGAAGCTCATAAAGGTGCCGTAGGCGCCGAACTGGACGTTGAGGCGGGCGGCGGCCGTGGCGGCGGGCGCGGCGCCGGCGGTCTTGTTGAGGGCCTGCAGGATTTCGCCGGCCAGGACGGCGCCGGCAATGGCGCGCACGGGCTCGGACGCGTTGTAGGCGAGTCCCCACTCGTGCTCGTCGGCGCGGGTCTGCAGCTGCAGGAGGGTGTCGGGGGTGAGCAGGTCGGACGACGGGATGGACGCGTTGTGGATTTCGGCGACGTGGAGGTAGTCGTAGATGGTGTAGGCGTTCTTGAACGAGCGCTGGTCGCTCGCAAACGTCGAGTTGATGACGGGCGCCAGGCCGGCGTAAAAGGCCTTGGTGCTGTCGAGGGTCTCGCGGTAGCTGGCGCTCGCCAGGTAGTTGTTGCTGCTGATGATGGCGTTGTTGCAGCCGCTGTTGCCTTGCAGCCAGGCGCTGTCCTCGCTGCCGGCGGCGCTCGACGCGCTCGACACGACGTTGACGGGGATGTACTGGTAGCCGCCAAAGGGCGCCTCCGTGACGGTGCCGTTGGCCAGCGTCTGCTGCGCGGCGGCGCCCGCGGGCGGGTAGAGGCTCTGGGTGAAGACGTTGGCGGAGCTCTGCAGGACGTTGTCGACGGGGGCGGTCACGCTGATCTGCGAGAGGACGGCAACGTCGGCGGCGACATTGGCGATGCGGGACGAGGCATTGGCCGACACGTAGCGGTTGCGGAAGTAGTTGCCCGACGCAAAGACCTCGTCGGCGCCGAGGGCCGTGAGCATGGTGGGCGGCAAGGACTTGGGGGTGCGGTCGCCGTGGCGGTGGAAGACGTAGATGCCGAGGACAGACTCGTCGGCCACGACGGAGGTGGGAGCAGTGGCCAGGGCGAGCAGCAGGGCCGAGGAGGCCAGGCCGGAGCGGAGGGTGGACGACATTGTGGGGAGGGTGTAAGTGGTGAGGGGTGTTTACAAATTGTGATTTTGCCCAGCCCAGAACACTTGGGATATGCCGTGTAAAAATGAGACAAGATAAAGGAAGAGACCGAAAAGGACAAGAGAAAAAAAGAAAAAAAGAAACACAACCAAATAAAATATATAAAACGACAAAGAATACGAGAGGCTGAAAGATAAACGGTAGACGAGATAGCTCGAGCTAAGATAAATAAAAGTGGTGACAGGATGGGAGGGGAGCTTTGCGCTAAAGAGGACGATCAGCAGACAGCAGTGTCTTTTTTTCTCTCCTTCTTTTTTCTGCCATTTACTATTGACCTCTTCCGCTCTCACCCGCACCTCGTCCCATGTTTACGGCCGACTCCCGGAGACATCCTGAACACGGAGATGCAGGCACTTCATGCCTCCCCGCACACTGGCTTGTCCTGGTATGTTATCTCGCGGGACGGGCCTGGATCGGAGACCAACTCGGATATGTCACCAACTCGGATAGGTCACCGATATGGCTGCTCTACGGGAGTGGTTGAAAGTTTGGGATGTCGAAGCCGTATTTTCATGCGGTTGTATTTCGTACAGTTTTACGTCGTGGATCTCCGCGGGCGTGCGCTCGGTGGGGAAGGTGATACGCCATGGATGTCTGGGGTTCTTTTTCTTTCTTGGTGCTCCCCACTCGCGGTCGAGTCATGTGCAGTCAGCCCGCATGCCAACAGTTGGTCGACGGAAGAAGAGAAGTTACGGATGTGCTTTCAACCTGCATCTGAGAGCGGCTGTTGTCTGACGGGAAAGGTACGGGAGGGGCCGGACAGCGCAGGACAGTGGCAGAGCAGGAAGCGAAGGAGCCTGGAAAGTAGCAGGGAAGCTGCAATGTGGGAGGTGCACACTAAACCGCCTGAAGAGGGCCTTGACAGGATACTACAACGGTCGGCTCCGGCCATGCAAGCGCCAGTTGAGGTCGAGTCATGCGTGGCTTTTCTTCTTTTCGCCCACCACAGTCAAGGCGGGCAAGGAGGATTGTTCCTGGTCAATGGCATTGCTGAACTGCCGTTTGCATTTTCTTTTAAAAAGTAGATGAGGGGTTTTGAATAATACGAAAAGCCATTGCTAGCAAAGAAAGAAAGGTGCTGGAAGAAGCAAAAAGGAAAAAAAAAGAAAAAAAAAAAAAAACTTACTTTTCTTCTTTATCGTTCTGCACTTTACCTCCTTGCTTCCTTTCCTCAGACCACTTAGCAACGCACGGCATACGTCCCCTCTTTTTTGCCTCCACAAACCACGCATCCAAGGCCCAAAGAGGAAAGTTTTGTCGCTGGCCGTTGCGCGTTGGAAGACCGTTCTCGTATCCGCTCTGGCCAAAACAACGAGAAACGTCCCGGTGCTCCTCGCCGGCATTAGCGCTGGTCATCGCCAACGTGGCGCCCACGATAGCAAATACAGCGAGAATCGGTAACACTGATGATATTGTCGCGCAGCATACGGCTTCCCGTACTAGATTGCTATGATTCTAATGCTGCCCGTCGACTGATAGGCCAATGTACTTGATAAAGTACTATTCTTACAATGCAACCCATGTCCATGTCCAAGAACCCACGTTGATGGGGGGTCAGCCAGCGCCTCCAACACCATGATGCACCCCGACCTACAGCTTGCTCGGCTGCTTCCGCCCGTCCTTGACCTTTGTTGACACGTCGCCCGACAGCAGATACGTCGGGTACTGCATGCCCGGGTCCAGACCGACGCCCAGCGAGCCGCCCTGCCGCCGCCATGCGCCGCCGTCCACCACCAGCACGTGGCCGTTGACATTGTCGCCCGACGCGCTGAACAGGTACACCGTGGCGTCGGCAATGTCGCGCACCGTGCCCCAGCGGCCGCTCGGGATGCCGGGCGAGCCGCCGCGGAGGCCCGGCCGCAGCTGCAGCGCGTCCGCCTGCTGGGCGTCCGCGGCCACGGCGTCCGGGCTCGCGAGCCGGTTCATGCCCTCGGTGCCCTCAATGGGGCCCGGCGCGATCACGTTGGCCATGACGCCCCGCGGGCCGTACTCGAGCGCCACCGACCCGACAATCGAGTCCACGCCCGCCTTGGCCGCCGACACGTGCGACTGCAGCGGCAGCCCCGTGTAGTGGAACGTGGCCGAGATGGCCAGGAAGCGGCCGCCCGGTGGCGTGTTCTCCGGGTTCGGGCTCAGGTGCCGGCCGGCCGAGTCCACGAGGTAGTCGATGGTGGCCTTCATCGTGTTGAAGGTGCCCAGCGTGTCAATGTCCATGACCGCCTTGAAGGCGTTGGGCGACAGCCCCGCCAGCGGCGACACAAAGTTGCCCGCCGCGCCCGCAATCACAAAGTCGATGCTGCCCAGCTCGCGCACGCACCGGTCCGCCGCCGCCTTGAGGCTGTCGTAGCTGCGCACGTCGACGTTGCCGATGCCAAGCACGCGCGCGCCTGCCCGCACCTTGGCAATGTCGAGCGCGGCCGCCTCGGTCTTTTGCGCGTTGCGGCCGATGATGCAGGCGTTGGCGCCGAGATGGACAAGCGCGCGGGTCTGGGCACTGCAGATGTCGCCGGCACCGCCCGTCACGAATACGACGCGGCCGTCTGGGAAGCGTTAGAGGGGGAGGACGAGGAGGGAACCGCGGGGAGAAAGAGGACCACGGCGGACGTACGGAAGATGCCATCGCGCCACACGGGGCTGATAAACTCATGCGGTTGCTTGCTGCCCATGGTGGACGTAGACGAGATGGTCGGGGGTTAACCGTAAATCGTAAAGGAGAGTCGACGGGTGGTGTGTTGTTTGTCCACGGTTGAGACGTCGAGGCTCTCTATATGGGGTGCGCCTGAAGAGGGGAATGGATGGTCTGAGGAACCAAGTGCGACGGGACAGAGGTGCTGTTGATCTTCTTTCAGCCACGTTGTGTCTGTCGTGTTGTTTTGGTTCTTGTTCCGCCTTTCGCTTTCGCTTTCACTGTTCCAACGTTGGATTCGTCTCCTGCTGACAGGGCGATGCCGAGGCACTTGGGGCAGTAACTTACATCCACCATGTAATCAGCGCTGCACGCCCTCGGCTCGTTCCCCATTTTCTCCATCTTCTCCGCGCATTTCGCTTAGCTTCTTTTGGCAGACAGTTAATTTTTGCTCACTATTGCCGCGCACTGTCTAGCGTGCTTACGTACGCTAGCGTGCTGCTCCAGCGCACCATTTACGCGCTCTGCGCCAGTGAAGTTCAGCGCGCGCTGCTTCACACGAGCCTAGAACCGTGGCAGCGTATTTTGGATGTTTGACGTTTACATTTCCAACGTGTGATTCGTGTCCCGTTTGCGCACGCAGCTCACCGCTGGCAACGCTCTTGGCCCTCAACACGTCCACACATACACACGTACATACGTACACAAACCGGCCGGCTGCCCGCCATGGAACCCCCGGCACCGGAGCAGGCCTCGAAGCCGCCGCCCCGCGTCGCCGCCGATCGCAACCGCAAACTCTCCGCTCTGCTCGCCAGCATCGACGCCGACCTGGACCTGGAGCTGACCGCCAAGGCCGCTGCGCCTGCCGCGGACGACTCCGGCGTCAACGCGTTCCGCCGCGCCAAGTTCTTCTTCCCCAAGGTCCTCGAGGAACAGCGCAAGGCCAAAGAAGCAAGGGAAGCGGCCGCCGCGAAGAAACTGAAGGCGAAGGGCAGCGAGACACAGCCGCCGACAGTCCGTTCCTCCTCGAGCCCCGACCGACCCCGCGGCACAGACCACGTGTCGAAACGGCGCAAAGTCTCGCACGAGACCGCAGACGGCAAAGCGAAGGCGCTGCACGACAGCCCATCACCCGCGGGTTCGCCACTAGCAAACAGCCCCAGCCGACACGACAGACGGACGGGAGCACGGCATGCACGCTCTGTATCCCTGTCGTCTGGGAGCCCGTCGCCCCCGCCGCCCTCTCGGCTGGACAAGGGCAAGGCCAGAGCTACAGCTCACTCCGTCAACGCGGACGTTGTCTACGCAACGAACACCAACACCTCGTCGCCACCCCCGACACGACAACAGACGTCCACGGGCGGAGCCGACAAGGATGCCTCGGTTGTGCTTATCGAGTCGACTGACGACTCCGACTCGGATGACGACGTCCAACCCTACCGGCCGCCCGACAGAATGGCACCTGTCGTGTCTCGGCGAGACCGGGACGAAGGAGACGTCGTGGACGAGGTGACGGACCCGGAGTTCAGGGAGTATATTGAGCGGGCCCGGGACAAGGCCGCGAAGGCTCGACAGGACGCAGAACTGGACGCCGTCTTTGGGGACGAGCTGAGCCAAGGGCCCAAGGCAGGCGCCACGTTTTCGTCCAACACCACCGCCTCGACAAACGCCACCTCGGCATCGCAAGCGACTACGGCCTCCATGGGCCAGTCGGGCGATACAGGAACCGCACCTGCGATGGCAGAGACAACACCACCACCACCACCACCACAACCAGCACAACCACGAACGACGACCATCGCCTCTTCGCAGCCCGCGTCCAGCGACCAGCAATACCGCGTCTTCATCACCTCCCACCTGCCCAAAGAGGTCCCGCCCCTGCTCGCCACCATGCGCATGGACCAGGAGATGCGCTACGCCCGCAACGCCTACTTGCATCATGCCGCCAAGCACAACGTCCATCTCTCCGACGAGGCGGCTCAGCGCACGCTGCTCACCTGGAAGGGCAGCAAAATCTACAATTTCACGACGGGCGCGTCCCTCGGTGTCCAGCCCGACGCCAAGGGCCGCTTTCGCGACTATGACAGCATGGCCATGGTCGCGGCCGACGCAGGCGCGGGCAAGCCGGCCGCCGGCTTCCAGTCGGGCGGCCTGCACCTCGAGATCTGGACCGAGGACCGGTATGCCGCCTACCTGCAGGCCGAAGAACGCCGCCGCCGCCGCAACCTTGGCGAGCTCGTCGAGGGGGACATGAGCAGTGACGGGGACGACGACGTCGAGGACGGTCGCCGTGGTGCGAGCCGGGGACCCGGTGGGGGACCCAGCGGGGGACCCGGCCAAGGCCCCGAGTCCGCCTCCGCCAACAGCACGCGCATCCGCCTGGTCCTCGCGTCGCGCGCGCACGAGAAGCTCAAAATCACCGCACACGGCGACACGACCATCGAGACGCTGGCCACCGCATTCCGGCTGCAGCGCGGCATCGAGCCGGACAAGACGGTGGCCATTATGTGGGACGGTGACGAGCTGGAGGGCAGCATGACGGTCGGCGAGGCCGAGATGGAGGACATGGACAGTGTGGAGGTGTATATTCGGTGAGAGGAGGCCGGGGGGAGGGGGAGGCTTGACATTGGCTGCAGTGTAACGAATGACGAATGAACGATTGAACATCGTGATGGACGTGGCAATGACCTTGTTTATAACGATATCCCGCATGTTTCATGAATACATCAGTACGACAGTAGTTTGCTGTATTGGATTGTTTGATTTCGTACAAGGTCGTCAAATATAACTTTTGTAACCAAGAAAATGGGACGTATGAAGAATAACTAACGGTGAAATGCACAGAAAAGAGAAAAAAAAGTAATCAAAGACAGAAAAACAGAAACGCCGGCCCTATATAATGCGAGCTCCCAAAATATCCCAAAAGCCAGAAAACCATACCACATAACCCGTTGTCTCTCCTCTAGAACCGCTCCTTGAGACGTGCGCTGATCGACCGCAGGTTGCCGTACACCTTGCCTGGTGGTTTGCCGAGACTGGTTTGTTAGCAGAGAGCAAAAGACAGTGACAGAAACAGGGGGAGGAAAAGGAAGGGAAACGGCAGAGGAGACATACATCAGGCTGACCACGCTTTCCCGCGCCATGCCAATCTCCTTGAAGCCGCCCAGGATGTGGATCTTGGAACCGCCCGCCACCACAATCCGCGTCTTGGTCGTGTTCTCAATGGCGTACTTGGTCCGGCCGTCCTTGCCCACGATCCGGCCCACCGCGCGCGCCAGGTGGTCGCCCTCGAGCGTCTTGACGTCCTTGATCTCAAACGACTGGATGTAGATGCCGTCGAGCCGCAGGATAGCCACGGCGTCCTCGACCTCAAAGCCCATGGCGTACGCCCGCACAAAGTCCTCGCCCTTTTGGATCGCGCCCGTCTCCGTCGTGCTCTTGGACGTCCGCAGCTCCACCGCCTTGGTCTTGATGTTCATCCGCACCTGCAGCTTCAGGTTTTCCACAAGAGGTGTGTAGCTGTGTCGGACGTCGGATCGACTGTTGTTAGCTGGCGCCCTTGCCCCTCGCCCCTGCCGTCTGCAATCTGTAACGGTTGACCTACATCTTGCTCCACGACGCCTTCAAGGGCGACATGCGGTGCGGCGGAATCGGAATCTTGCGCACTTCGCGGCGCACGGCCGTCTCGGCGTCCTTGGCCGCCGCGAACTTGGGCCGCGACTCCTCGTCAATGTCCATGCCGGCCGCAAAGTCGTCGCTGCCGGGGTCGCTGGCGCCGAGCAGGATCGGCGTCGATGTCTCGGCGGGGATTTCGGTCAGCGTCAGGGTATTGGCTGCGGCCGCCGCGTCGAGAAGCGTCTCGACTTCGTCCTGGGAGACTGCTCCTGTTAGTCTTGCAGGCTCCATCCGCCGCCACAACAAATAACCATTGAGGTGACATACTTGGCTGGGCCTCCGGGGCCACCGGCACATCCACCTTCTTGGCGGCGGTCGGCGCAGGCATGTTGAATCGCTGAGTGTTTTGTGCGTTGTATCGGGTGTGTTTGACTGTGAATGTATGTTTTTCTGGCGTGTAGTGCAATATCTGCCGCTGGTCGTCGGTTGCCGGTCGTTGTCAAGGCGGTATCTCAAACCATCGACGCTTTTTATTAATCTACACCAATTTTTCGCAGCGACAACCCACTGGCCCATTAAACTTTTTCTGCCTTGGTGGGGAATTTTTTAGCAACTGTCCCTTCCTTATCGGGGCTTATCGGCTTGACCGCCAACTAGCCCCCAGATCAAGAAGCAACCCCCCAGCCTCCACTTTTTTTGCCAGTTACTTTGCCCCCCTCCTTCCTCCTTTCTCTTGGGCACTGTCAGAGTGCCAGGCATGGCTAAAAGGCACCTAAAGAGAGCGCGTCATTCGTAGGGAAGGTGTGGATTTGGCTTCACACCGACCGGAAGGAACGAGGGGAAGACAACACAGACCCAGGGTAAGAACGAATGAAAAAACCAGCCAATAATTATTGTCACTTGCTTTTTCGAGACACAACATCGCATCAGAGTCTTCTCCGTTCCCCTCTTCGCCCACCGCTCTATCGAAAAGAGCGTCAGTACAGGAGACATTCGCCAATGGGCGACGTATAAGCAGCCACGAACCAACGACAAAGACAAAAAGTCTTCAATCGACGTGCTAGCCCTTTTCTGCCCGGCATATCCCAGAGCGAGCTTGTACCGACTAGCCCAGATTTTCCACTCGACGTCGTCCACTATTCAACCTCATTTTGTCCGCCTTCAAGCTCGCCCTATTTTTGGATTCTGCATTCCCAGTCGACAAAGACTGTTGCCTTTACCGCCCGCGCCTCGGACTCTTCCGCCCGAAATGCAAAATGCCATCTAGCTCAGCATCGACCCATCAACTGGGTCGCCGCTTCTGGGCCTCCGTCCGGGACTCGGTTGACTCGTGGGCTTGGCAAGCACCTTCAGTCGGCCGCTGGCATGGCAAGCGGTCCTTGACAGGCCTGGGCATTGCCCACTCCGTCTTTTCCGCTCACGCCGTGGCATCAGCGACGGTCGCAGAAGCTGCAGGCGGCCGCGGCGGCAGCAGAGCCGCACGACGCTCGTTCTCGTTCCTGTCAGGCCGGCAACTCTTGTTTTCGGGACGGCCGCGGCGCTTCCACTTTGGCTCTCCTGGGGCGGCCAACCCCAAGGCCTCGCCCAACCATGTCCGTCGGAGCTGCACATCTGGCGGGCTGCTTCTCCTCGGCCTCAGCTCGCCTTCGACACCGTCCTCCACCGTCGTCGCAACGTGCACCGCCGCCGCCGACACGGCGCTCTCGGGACAGAACGCGGCCCAGAAGACAAGCATCAGCCGCATCGCCCGGCAGGCATGGCAGCACCAGCACCGGCAGCACCACCAGCTCTGCAACAAGCCACAACCACACCAGAAAAGGCAGCCACAAAGCGGCATGCTTCTTCTGTCTCAACTGGGAAGCAGAAAGCAAGGTGAAGCCCTGTCAGTACGGACCGCAGAGCCGAGACGATGGAAGAGCACCGACAGTCGCGGCGGGAGCAACACAGCCTCCTCCCGCCAGTCGCAACCGCCCGGCGGTGACGTCAAGAGCAAACAACAGATAGACGCAGAGTCGACACGAAAATCACCCGCATCTGAAGAGAACAAGGGCGTGGCAGGACAGCAGCACCAGCCGCCACCTCAACCACATCCTCCGGAAGGCGAGGACGCCGAAACGATCGCCAGCTCCGTGTCCAAATACCTACAGTCCCATCTCCCCAAAATCCCACATCGCCCCACCAAGGAAGAGCTTCTGGCTGCTGCCAACGGCTTCACGGAGCGGCTTAAGGTCCGCTTCAAATGGCTGACAATCCGCAGCATGCGGCCTTGGAACGCCGATGAATGGGGTGCTTTTCTTTCGTGGTTTATGCTGGGGCACATTGTCTGGATCTTGGTCGGCACAACCACTTTTATGTCGCTTGTGATTTTGACCATCAACACCGTGTTTGCACAAGGTAAACCCCCACTCCCTTGCTTTTTTATTATTATTAATTGTTGTCACAATTTCATACCTAGCCAATGCATATACTGACATCCACAGAAAAATTGGCAAAGTGGGTTGGTGATTACCTGACCCAGTCGGCCGGTGTGACTGTCGTTTTCGAGTCCGCCATCGTTCCCAAGTGGAAGAATGGCGTCATTACCTTCCGTAACGTTTTCGTCTCGCGCCGCCCAGGCCAGATCAGGTCCTCCGTGACCAAGGGTTCCTCGTCCAACGCCGCCGCCATTGCTGCAGCGCGCCATACGCACGACCCGATCAGCGGCGTTGCCGAACCCGACGCCGAAGCTGAGAACAATGAAGACTACGTTGTCGACGACGGCAACTATACGCAGTTTGACGTGACCATCAACAACGTCGACGTCACCCTCTCCTTTTACAAGTGGTGGAACGGCAAGGGCATGCTCAAGGATGTTGAAGTGCGCGGCGTGCGTGGTGTGATCGACCGCACGCACGTGAATTGGTCTCCCGGACCACTTGACCCATTCTCTTTCCGCCACGAGCACCAGCCGGGCGACTTTGAGATTGAACGCTTCAAGCTTGAGGACCTCATGGTGACCGTACACCAGCCCAACGGCTTCCGCCCCTTCTCCGCGTCCATCTTCTCGTGTGAGCTGCCGCAGCTGCGCAAACAGTGGCTGTTTTACGATTTCCTCTGCGCCAACCACGTGTCCGGCGCCTACGACGGCTCCCTCTTTACGATCCACCCGCGCCAGATCCAACACTCCAACACCATCCCCGGTGTCGTCGACAACAGCCACCACAACATCAACAACCCCGTCATCGAGCCCATGTCGCCCGAGGCGGCAGTGGCATGGAAGAAGTTCTCCCGCCTGCGGATCGATGGTCTCAAGATTGACCACCTCAACCGCGGCGATCCAGGACCGTTTGGCTGGATCTACGAGGGCAATGTCGACATTGTCGCGGATGTGATGCTGCCCGCTGAGGCCGACGAGAGCCTGGCCAAGGCCATGATTGACTTTTACGATAAGATGGAAGAGGCTGTGACGAGCAACCGGTACATTCGCATCCTGGATGGCAATTACGGCAGCCGCAAAGAGGGCGAGGAGGCCGCTCAGATCGATGTGGACGCCTCGTTTGGCGAGCAGCGCGGCCACCTGGGCTGGGAAACGGACGACGCGCAACAGACACCAATAACGACGACCCCCGCGATACCGCCAGTGACGGCGCAGCCAGCCTCAACAGCAGCGGCAGCAGCAGCAGCAACAGCAACACCCACGCCCACGCCCTCGCCCACGCCCTCGCCCGCCGTCATCAAGCCTCCGACCTTCCCCGACGACCCCGTACCGCAGTACGTCGTCATGGACCTGCGCCTGCATCTCAACGACGTCCGCGCCGCCGTGCCCTTCTTCCCCACCACAACCGCCCTCGGCCAGACCCGCGCCCAGTCCTATGTCAATGCCGCCCTCATCCGCCCCATTGTCGCCTACATTAATGCCAAGCGCACCTACATCCCCATCAGCTGCCGCGTCGTCAAGCACCTGTCGGACTTTGACGGCAGCTGGACCACGTACGACTGCGGCCTGCTGGACGACACGTCGGCCGAGGTGTATGCGGCGTTTGCGCACGACGTCGAGGACCAGCAGTCACGCGTGCGGCGCCTGAAAAAGGTCGGGTTCTGGACGCTGAGCATGGTGGTGCATGCTCTGCTGGCGGGTGTCGCGGGTGACCTTATGTAGAGGACACGGACTGAGAAAGGTTGATCTCGAAAACCATACCACGCCACTTCTTTTATTTCCTGCTTTTGCTTTGGCTTTTTCCGGTCACCTACTTGGAGTACAGCTTTGTTCGGCGCGTCGTTTTTGTTTTGGATTTTGCTGGATTCTATGACATAGATGGCCATTTGGGGTGTAAGCGACTTGCTTTTTCTCGACGGCGTTTTTGTTTAGTCAAGGTGGGAGGGATACATATACGGCAGGCGGTACACCATGGCAAGGATACGGAAGACCAAAAACAAAGGAAAGTGATAAACGGACATACATATATGACAATCATTTCTCTTTTGTATCTTTACTTGTAAAATTTTGGCGACGTGAACTGTGATAGAATGGTAAACAGGGTCTGTACGTAGCAGGACTGGTAAAGACAGGAGCAGAAAAAGAAAAGCGCATCGTCATGTAAGCAAAATACAGTGTGCGGTCTAGATTGTATTTAAAAACAAGGGGACTAGGAGGGAAACGGCAGAGTAGGCGTGAAGTGAGGTAAAGGAGCACGAAATCAAAAACAACGGCGACCGCATCAGAGAACATCGCACACCACTATCAATCCTCGCACTCTCCCTTTTCACCCCTTTCGCGTGCCTTCAAATACTGTCGTTACCATTTCTGTCCATGTCTTATCCCGTATGCCATGCAAATGCGTCATTACTCTCTCTCTGTCGGCCCTTGTTCGTGCTTCCTTAAGCACCGTCCTCCAGCCCATGGTTTGCATGTGAAAATCAAACCGGTAACAAAAGAAAAGGAAAAAAAACAAAGCGTGAAGGACACATGATGAATGACAAAAAAGAGACCGAGGATGTGTCTTCCCCTCCCCTCTCCAACCAGTAAACAAAAAAAAGGCCGTGCATTGTTGATCCTACAAGAAAACAGACAAGAAAGGAAAGACGGAAAGAAAAATGCTCTCCTTTACATGAAATCGTCACTGGACAAAGTTGTTAGCAAAAACGGGCGGTGAACAAAAATTGCCATTCTGCAAACAGGGGAGGCGTGTGGGGGAGACTATAAACTCACTCTCCGTAGGCATCGTCATCGTAGGAGCCCGTGTCGACCGTGTTGGGCCGCGCAATGGCGAGCGTCGTCTTGGTCTTGGCGGCCTTGGTCTTCTTGCCGCCCTTCTCCGAGGCCTTCTCCTCCCGCAGGCGGTCGTTGGCGAGCGCCGTCAGCGAGCTGTTGATCTTCTTGATCTGGTCGCTCGGCAGGCCGCGGCACAGCTCGCGGATCAAGTTCTGGGCGAAGACGACGTAGGGGCCCTTGTGCGCGTGTGCGCTGATGATGGGGCCCAGCGTCTGCTGCAGCTTGTCAAACTGGAGCTTTGTGACGGGGTTGAGGAGCGGCAGCGAGCCCAGGTCGACCGTCTTGGACGGGTCCGACGCGTCGATGGAAATGGCCGACGCCTTGAGGGCGGCCGCCGACTTGCGGGCCCCACCGCCCGTGCCCGCGGACAGGCCCGCATCGCCAAACAGGTCGGCGGCGTGCTGCAGATCGGCCTCCTGTTCGCTGCGGCGCATGCGCTCGCGGCGCTCGGCCTCGGTCTCGCCTTCCCGCAGCGCCGAGTCGGCGTCCGCCTGGGCCTGGGCACGGGCGCGCTCGGAGATGTGCTCGGCGATGCGCTGGTTCTTGGACTTCTTGTTGGCGGCGGCAGCGGCGGCGGCGGCTTTTGCCTTGGCCTGGGCCTCCTCCTCCTTCTTTGCTTTCTCGCGCTCGGCCTCGGAGTCGTCGGCGTCCCAGGAGTCGAGGACGTCGCTATCTTCCTCCTCCTCGTCTTCGAACTTGTTGGCGCGGCGGAGCAAAGGCGGGGGCGGGGCAACAGCGCTGCCAGCCTCGGAGCCGGAACTGGAGGACTCTTCCTCGTCGTCTATGTCACGCAGAGAGGGTCAGCAAAACTGTATCCTGGTAGGGTGTTGTTCGCAGCCACGGCCACGAGCCTCCCCCATATCCCTCTCCCGTAGTCTCGTCCCAAGACAGGCCACGTGTAATACCAAGGCGGCCAGAAATGAAACGAGGGGTACGAGAGGTGATGGCGAGGCGAGGAGAGAGGTCGTAGTCGAGCACGAGTATTTTCAAAGGTTTTCTTGACGGCACACGTACCCCACTTGCCAGGCATGATTGGCAAATTCGTCTGTTTTTGCGTGGGCTTCGAAATCGAGGGGTTGTCGTCGGGAGAGAAGGGATGTGTCGTGTGTGTGTTGTTTGGAAGTGCAGTGACGATGTCCCGAGCGTGGGAGGCGCGCTGGTGAGAATAGTTTGTGTTCTGAGAAGAAGAAAGGAAAAGAAAGGGAGGCGAAAACTGAGACACTCTAGAGGCAGGAGAGTGTAGTTACGAGTCTTTGGGAGGGCAGGCGCGAACGTGGCAGGACGAAATTGTGGGCAGGAGCACTGAAAAATTGTAGTTGGGCAGGCACGGCGTGCAAAGGGGCTGTTAGACAAGGGTGAAAAGGCTGCCCAAGCGCAACAAAAACTGCAAACTAGAGGCAGCCAAAGATTTAAAATTGTTCCAAGCGGGAGAAAAAAAATATATAAAAAGCCAAAATAGATGGCGCGTCGACTACGACGAATGAGAGCCAGAACGGCAGCGGCCGTCGATGGTTCCTGCTAAATTAGAACAGGCTGACCAAAGGATGCTCGTTTTTCTCTTTAGCCGCAGTCGCGTCAAGGACAGATAGAGAAGCGACGAACAACGAACAAACATTCTACATGGCAGGCGCGACTGGAAGAAGAAGAGATCGGTGAACACTAGATGAAATGCAGGCAACAAGTTTACATATGGCGATTGTCTTCCGAGCGGATGAAATTGTTTGTCATGCCAGCGAAGGTGCTCCTTGGCGGGCATGGCAATGCGCCAGACACAGACTTGATGTATCCGCATCCGGGTCGTCCCTTTGGATCGCCAGTGCATGATCGGGAGACGAGACGAGAGGCTGAAGCGGGCCAGGAGACCAGACGATGTGAAACAGAGACCACGGGGATCTGCTGTGAACAGAGGAAACAGGAGATATTAGAAAATATAAAATAATAATAACAATAACAATAACAAGAAATAATAATATGGAGACCATGACCCCTTCTTGTTGGACAAAGTGCTGTGCGCGCCTTCCGTCTCAGACAGCACGTCGTTTTACAGCCCCTCTGTCGCGATTTCCTATTCCGGCCACATTGTCCTCCCACGTCCGTTCCCCTCGCTTTCCCCCCTCTTGCCCCTTACACAGCGCAAAACGCAACAATGCACTGCACGTATTCACAGGCCAGACGCTGTGCCCCTCGTTCAGCGTGAGTCTGCAGGGATGATGTCACAACAGGCAGGGGGCTGCTCTCCAATTGTCCCAGAAACCCAGAAACCAGACCCGGGCACATGCCCCAGCGCGTCGCATTTGGCGCTGCAGGGCTGCAGACTTGCAGGTCAGGCTGCATGAGGGATGTAAGACGAAAGAAATTTGAAGTCCAAAGATGAATGGATACAGTCACAAATGAGTCAGAGAGCAAGCAACAGCGACGAGAAGACAAAGCCACATTTACTCTGGATTAAAATTACAGTGCTTGTGTGTTTATTTCACTCATTACGTATCATTCTTTGGATTGCACGGTCTCGCCGATATTGAGAAAATCGTGAACAGACGATTGGGCGTGAGTCCGTTACATTTACAGTCGTTCTACTCAGCGTTGTCTTGCTCCTAGGATGTCTCAGTGTGAGCAGGAGCACATGAGAATAAGTCAAAGTTAGAAAAGGGTAATTATTGGGAACATCGCGACAATGCAGCCTGTCTTTGTTCATGGCTATCCGATGAATAGAGCCAATAATAACCAAAATATAAAAATAAAATAAAAGCATAATGAAGAACAAGTCAAATCAGATGTCAGGCAAAGCACTGTCAAATGTCAAACACAACAATGTCAAATGCCAATCCCATCGCGACAAATAGCCGTGGCATCTCCGGATGCAAGTTGACAGCAATGCTTTCCGATTTCATTTTTTACTCTCCATCTCGCTCGTTTTTTTCATGTGCGTGTGACTCCTACCACAACTCTCTCGCAGTGCTGGGGGCAGCCCAGTGAAGTCGGGCACGAAAACGACGCGGAATAAATTTCGCAGCTGATGGCGCATGAGAGTTTGAGAGACGCACCTCCGTCCGAATGTCTCCGATGTTTTGCTCATCACCTGACGTCCAGTGCTTTCGCATTGGCCTGTGGGAGCGACGGCGCCCCCATTCCGCCGCTAACAATGGTACCTGAGCCCGGCCGGTTGGGCCTTGGGACTCCACTAAAACGAGAACATCCCGCGCAAGTGCAGAGCCAGATGAGGCTGTTCCCTGTTCTTGCAGACACGAGGCTGAAGGCGAAATTGGTTGTTTTTATGCCGCTGCCGGGTTGTTTTCTTTCTCCCTATGCGTAACTACCCTTCTCTCCATATCAGAGGTCCGCTACGGTGTTTGCTCGACGAAAATCGATCGGTGATTGTCGACTCCGAGGACATCGACGGCCCTTGTTCCAGGTCTGTTTCTTTTCATTCGTATTGTTTGAGCTCTCTTGGAAGGAGTACTCTCCCATTTACCACTCGTAGTCGCTGTTGCTGTTTCTGCTGAGCGAGAGCGGGTTACAATGACTCGCGTCATGCCGTTCGCAGCAGCAAAACTCGCCAGTCGGCGCACAGCATTCGACGCTGAAGATCGCGAACAAATAGCGAATTAGGGCGGGTCTAATGTCAGAACAGGGGGAATGTTACAGATGCCCCGGGAACGCTAGCGATGCGAACAACGCAGTCCCGGCGCTGTTCCTTCCCCGTCGGGCCTTTCTTCTTTCCACTTACGGGCTCTCCGCTATTCAATAGTGCAGGCAAACTGCGCCTTCCAGCCATGCACCGCACTTCTTTCTTTCTCCGGATGATCTTTCCGTAGCCTTTCCCGTATCTTTTCGCGCTCGCCCCAACCGTCTGTCCGCCTTGCAGTTTTTCTTACATGGCCCACGCCCTTGGCATGTGGGCACGTTGTTTGGCACATGGGACCTCTGACACCTCCAAACAAACACACACTCACTCACTCACATATAAAAGACGACCGCAACGGCAAGCAGAGGCGGGTTTTGTGCCTGGCCGCCTTCTTGCCACATCCCGACATCTGAATATCAACAACATTGATCAGGCTTCAAACCATCCATCCACATCAACCATCTCTCATACCATTCGCAGTACCCTCACATAGCGTTCTACCTCACCCTCTCCCCTCACAATGACTTCGGTGCGCATCACATCGTCCGCCCTGGGCCAGTCTCAGCTGGTCAGCAGGCAAATCGCCCGTGCCGCCCTCCCCCTCTTCTGCTCGTCGTCTGCACAGACGCCTTTCCCTAAGCTGTCCCCTTCTTCGTCGACGTCGTCCGCCAGCCGCCGTCCAGGCTCTGCCGCAGCTCCCTTTTCCACAACCACGGCCGCCCGCATGCGTGATTTCTTCCCCGCTCGCGAGACGGAGCACATCCGCCAGACACCGCCCGCCTGGCCCCATCACGGCTACACCGAGGCCGAGATGCTCGCTGTCGTCCCCGGCCACCGCGCCCCCGAGACCATGGGCGACCGCTTCGCCTGGTACCTGATGCGCGTCTGCCGCTGGGGCATGGACACGGCCACGGGCATGCGCCGCGACCAGCGGTCCGACAAGACGCATCCCACGACGGCCGTGGCCGCCGAAAAGCCCCTGACGGAAGCCCAGTGGATGACCCGCTTCATTTTCCTCGAGTCGATTGCCGGCGTGCCCGGCATGGTCGCCGGCATGCTGCGGCACCTGCACTCCATCCGCCGCCTGCGGCGCGACAACGGCTGGATCGAGACCCTGCTCGAGGAGTCGTACAACGAGCGCATGCATCTCCTGACTTTTATGAAGATGTGCGAGCCCGGCTGGTTCATGAAGCTCATGATCCTCGGCGCCCAGGGCGTCTACTTCAACGCCATGTTCCTCTCCTACCTCCTGAGCCCGCGCACCTGCCACCGCTTCGTCGGCTACCTCGAAGAGGAGGCCGTCCACACCTACACGCGCTGCCTCGCCGAGATCGAGGCCGGCCACACCCCGGCCTGGACCGACCCCAACTTCACCGTCCCCGAAATCGCCGTCCGCTACTGGAACATGCCCGAGGGCAAGCGCACCATGCGCGACCTGATCCTCTACATCCGCGCCGACGAGGCCGGCCACCGCGGCGTCAACCACACCCTGGGCAACCTCGACCAAAACGCCGACCCCAACCCCTTTGTCAGCGAGTACAAGGCCGGCCGCGAACCGCCAAAGCCGCTGGCCCGTGCAGAGGGCTACGAGCGTAACGAGGTTTTGTAAAAAAAAAAAAAAGAAAGACAAAAAAGTCACATTCGCATCCTTTGGTTTCCTTTGTTTGATGCCTTCTCATCTGCATGGCGTTCTTTGGCTCCTGCCGCGGCGTTGGAAAGCGATGGTCCGGGGCGGGAGTCTCCCCACTCTTCATGACTTTGTGTTTTTTGGTATGTTTTGGCGTTTTCCCTTTGATTTTACTATTTAGTAAACGGTTCAAGTCACAAGACTGGTGGTTAGAATAGGATCTTTTGTCATAGATATCCTCCAGAGATGACGGTTTGTTGTCGCGCTCTTAGCTACACATAAAAGCACTGGGTGCGCATAGAGCGGAGACCATTGATTTCAAGGTTCGACTGAAAGCATATAGAAAGAATGTCCAAGGACGAAACATGAAGAAGATAAAATCGTATCACGATTTCTCCCCAATTGATAAACACAAAACACATCTTGTTGGAAAAGAACCTCGTTCATATGCTACACTTGCATTTCCGATACATCAATAATCAAAGTACGGTGTCTTCAAACACTATCGTGGTCTTGGAGGGAATGTAGTCTAATGGGAATTTTATTCAAAAATGAAAAAGGAAGTAGAGCGACCCTCATTTGGGGCCTTTGTTCAAAGAACCTTCCTATAGAATATAGATATCTCAAGGGCTCAGGGCTCAGGGGGCTGCTGGTGATGTGGGGGGACGGGTGAAGTGGTACGAACATCAACAAACGTAACCTGGAGGGGGAAAATAAGTGGTTTGAGAATGGTAGAAAGAAAACAACAGACAAAATAAATCTCCTGGAGTCTCCTCACACCAGAATAAAAGCACGTCTTGGAACGTCTTTTTGTTAGAACAAAAAGAAGCGTCCTTTGGGGTATCCATCGTAGCGGGACACACTGCCCAAAATATAAAAAAAGAAAAAAAGGGCAGAAAAGAGAAGAAAAAGGATCAAGTGAAAGGGGTGGCTATGGGGGGAGTAAGGCGAGAGGTGAAGGGGTCGGGAAGGTAAGAACGGGGAAGGGATGAAGGAATTTGATATGTAGTGGGGAGAAAATACAACCGCCAGAAAAGACACAACACAGAAAAACGGGTACACTATATGAAAACACAGGAATTATAGACACCCCTTGGCCGTCCTGGCCACCGACATTCTCTGCGCCGTCGGCCGGATTTTTCCTTCCCCGTTTTTGTAACATCCACCGCCCCAAGTGTATTGAAAGGCGCCACACAAAAAGATCACAGTAGAAAAACAAAGGAAACGGGCCACCGACAGCACAACCAAGAAATCACTATTGTGGCTTCTCGTTCTCCTCGGCAACGCGGCCAAGATCCAGGCTTTTGCCGCGGATGGCGCCCGAAAACGTGGACAAGGACGCCGCAGACGGGTCGGTCGGCGACGGGGATTTGTTCCGGCGCTGCTCTGCCGTTTCCTTGGCCTCGCGGTACTTGCTCTTCAGCCAACCGGAAATCTTGCCCTTGCTGTGCTCGTCGCCACCCTTGCCCGGCTCTTGGCCTTCCATATACGCCAGAGAAGGGTCCGACGACCCGCTGGCGCCCGTTGGGGTCAGCGAGGCGACTCCCGCCAGAGACGGGCCGCCACTGCCGACGGAGCTGGTGCTGATGCCGGCGTGCATGTTGGATCCGAGGCTCGAGTTTTGCCCCGCTGCTGTGGAGACAGAACTTACGTTGCTCGTGGACGGTGGCGGCGCGCCCGGCGCTCCCGGCGCTGCTTGTGGTACACCCGCAGCTGGTGCTACTGGCGCTGGCGGCTGCGTGTCTTCACGCCGTCTAGACAGTCGCCAGAGACGCTTTTTCGACTTCTCGGTAGGTTCCGTGTGCGTCTCGTTTAGCTGCGCGGCGGCGGCAGTGGCGGCGGCGGACTCATCGACCTGGTCAATATCAGATCCTTCGTTAAAGGAGCTGTGGAGAGACTCGGACGGCGAGTTTCTCGATGGGCGGAGCTTGGACTCGGACGAAGCTGGTGCAGCGGTGCTAGCAACGGCCGGGGCAGTGGCCGGTGTAGGCGTCGTTGTCGCTGTGGTCGCAGCCGACGGGACTTGAGATACACGCGGTGTTGAGTCGTTGGCACCGTCCGAGCCCGTTGGTGCAGGGGCTTCCCGACGGTGTTCCATAGACCCGTCGTACCCGTGGCCACCAGCAGTGGCTGTGGCCAACTGGTTCGCATGCCCTTCCAGCGGGTTTACAACTGGCTCGTAGTTGGGTGACGCGTAGGCAGCCGACGACGGCAATGAGGCTGTTGAACTCTGTGCGCTCGGGTTGGCGCTGCTGGGCAGCCTCTTCTTCTTGAGCTTGTTCGGCTGTGGCCGCAGTTCACCCGCACCACTCTCGCTGGTGCTGGAGCGCTGGAACAGCTGGAACCGGCGCTCTTTGGAAGGTGTGCTGGTTCCCGCTTCGGCAACGGGCGAAATGGGTGTGGCGGGCGAGACACCCAGACCCGGCACGTCCCTGGGTGGGGCCACATGTGTGGCGCCTTCGATCATGACCGTTGTGAACGGGTCAGGTGTATTGGAGTCTTCGGGGGGTGTGGCAACCTCAGCGACGGGATCGAAAGCGGGCGCGGCCTGTGCCGTCTGGTGGGGGTATATGGGCGTCAAAGGGGACACTGGGCCGCCGGACGCGTCCGTTCGCTTCGCAAACCGGCCGGGGCCAATGCCCGGCGATCTTGCTGGCAATGTGTTGCTGCGAGAGAGCCCGCCAGTGCTGCCGCTTCCGGCGGTCGTGGGTGTTGTCGCATTCGCAGGACTGCTGCTGCGGGGACTTGATGCATGGCCGACGTGGTTGTTACCATCGCCACCGAGGCCACCGCTGCCATCACCAACATGGTTACCGCTGACAGCGACATGGGCGCTCGAGTGTCGTGAGTGCCGCGAGTTACGAGACGAGGTCGACCGGTTGCGACGAATCTTACCGTCCCGGGCCACGCTCTCGGCGCCAGCGCTTGCGTTAGAAGCAGTGCGGGACACACCAACAGCACCGGCACCCTCCATCTGCACACCGGGTGTCACAGGTGGTGTGCCTCGGGAGACCTCCTGGACGGTCTGCTCGTCGGCGGCGGTGCCGCGCATGCCAATCAAGAAGTGGTCTTGGTTTTCGATTAAGAATATCAATACGGTCTGGTTGAGACGGTACTCTTCGGGTGCCATAGCATGCGAGGGGTGCGACAGAATACCCGGCTGGAAGATGGCGGCCAGGTTCTGAGAGTTCATGCGGTTGATGTCTGCCTTAGCGGCGAAAACGGCAAGTAGGTCGAGGATGTAGAGCAGGAGCTGGCGGTTAAGTGGAGGTAGCTCGGTAATCAGGTCTTGGTAGTTGTGAATGGCACCAGCCAGGTCAAAGTTCTCCATGAACTGCGGCCCGTCGGCGTCGCTGGGGCCTTGTTTGATGGCATGGCGCAATGGGTCCCGGAAACGCTCGTAGAGAGCGAGGGGGACAACAGGCTCGGGGAGGTCGTTCAAGTACCGACGCAAGACGTTGGCAGCATCATGTACTGTGTAGCCGGTCCAGGACAACCCCTTACCGTACCGGTCGGGCGAGTCGAAAGCGAGTTTGAGCTCCTTGATCCGCTTCTCTGAGCCACTCAGACGGAAAATGCCCTCCACTTCGGTTGCCTTCTCTTTCAAGAAAACACCGCACTTGGCAACGACAATGGGGACATAGCCGTAAATATAGCTTTTCCCGTTCTCGTCGACGAGGGAGATGGCGACGTTTGCGTACGCGATACTCTGCCGCAAGGGTACGCCGAAGATGCCCGGGGGAGCTTGTTCTGTTGGAGACGTATGTTAGCAGGATGTCGTTGCTTTCCAAGAAAAGTGCAGTCGCCCCACGTTCCACACGCATGACTGAGTCAGTTAGTGTCGCTGCACGCTGTCCGCCCCATATGTTCCTTGGAGCTTTTCCCTTGGTCCTCGGCAGTGGCCATGACAATGGGATGCTGTGCAACAATTCTAGCCTTATCGCATCGCCCTTCCAGAGTGGCACAAGCAGCGTGGCGCATGCCTAGTGGCACCGTATTTCGCACGTCCTATTTCCCATCGGATGACAAAAATGAAAAACAGATCCGTAAGGAAAGGTAGAGCTGGGCAGACACAAAATTGCACACCCCAAGCCGCAGCAGGCACAGTCGCAGGTTGCAAATGCGCACTCGAAGATGTCCACTTCGAATAGCAAAAACGGTGGGCTCGGGTGACGAGTACCGGCACGGGGCCAGGGGGCTGGAAATGGACCCGGCTCTCGTTTTTAAGCGGTTGCGCAATTTCGGTAGATGTCGGCCGCTCCGTCCAGGGCCAAGAAACCAAAAGTACCATTCTTCGACCACAGGCCATAGCAGCAGACAAAGAAAGGGTCTTGCGCAACAGGCAAGCAGGGCAACACATTGGGAAACAAAGAGAGAAAAGAAAGGAAAGAAAGGAAAAAATGGAGAAAGAGCGCAATTTATTTACCTTGAACATCGTGGTTTCGTGATTGGAGCTTGAAGCCCTTCCACCACGATTTGAGGTCGCGTTTTGTGGGCGGCGAGGCAGCGGTGGCTTGTGGTGGAGGCATCGTCACGGGCGGCGGCGAAGCAGGTGATTTCGGCTGGCGGGTTTGATGCGCGTTCGGAGCATGAGCGTGTGCTGGATTCAGGGACGCTGGGAGATGGTGCGACCGTTGGTGTGGTTGGGCCTGTGCTTGTCCTTGCGCCTGCGCCAGCGCTTGTGCCTTGAGCAACTGCTGCTGCTGCTGTTGCTGAATCTGTTGTTGAAGCTGGATTTGTTGGGCTGGTGTGTGCTCCCGAGGCGGCTGTCGCTGCTGTTGCGGAGGCTGCTGAGGCTCCTGCTGAGGCTCCTGTTGCTGTTTTGGGTGCTCCGATTGGGAGGGACCGCCGGACGGTTGGGCTGGTGTCGCCCCTGGTGGATTGGTTGAGGGAGGACTAGAATCCGTCATTTTTGCAGACGACGACGATGGCGACGATAGCGACGAACGCGACGCGCCGGGGACCCCGCGCAAGTCCTTGTCAGTTCTGTGAATTGACTGCTCGAGTACAAGAGGGCGGCGACTGCAAACTGTCCAGAACCGCGGTTCGCGAGATCAACGGAGACGTGTCCCAGGCGCAGGAAGAGGCCAGCTTAGCAGCGACGCGACTGTCAGTTACGTGGCGGGAACGGAGACGTAGAGCGCGGAGGCTGCCGAGAACGCTGGGAAGGCTGTCGACACTGGCGCAAAGGGCCGCGTGGCAGATGCGGTATGGTACGCAAAGGGGGAAAGCAATCGTTGAATACTGTCGTTGGCGGCATAGACGGACGGATTCGCAAAGGACGTGGACGCGTAGGAAGCAGGTCGACGCGAAGTCTAACGAGTCGTTTCGAGTTAGTTTGTCGAGAAACGAGCCGCGGGTTTGGGGCGAGACAGAGGCGGGACAAACTGCGCGGACGTCGTGATGCGAAAAGACGGGAAAATTCGAAAGTCGCTATGCTAGTCGAGTAAAAGAAAAGGCGGCGCTGCGATGGGATGAAGAGATTGCGTTTGAACAGGGTTGACCAGGGTAGCGAGCTCTGGTCGAGTCGGGCAACGTCGAGCGCAGAAACAGAAACGAGGGAATTGATTGAAGAAACAAAAGTTGGCAAGACAAGGCCGGCAAAAGAGCAATAGCAGTCTCTGTGTGAATGCTGCGAGGGGTGATGGGAGGGGGGGCGTGAGAAACGGCGTATGTACGGGCCGCGACGACAATGTACTCCGTAGGTTCGAGGTAAATAAAAAAAAAGTCGAAGCGCGCGCGACCCAGCGTCAGGAGACGAAACGTTGGGAGGCGACCAAAAACGGGGGGTGAAGAAGGAGAATGGGAGGAGGGGGAACAGTCAGCCAAATGCCAAATGCATAGAGCCGACACGGTTAGGGCGTGGGAAAGGACCACTTCTGGTCGCGGTCGATTTGTTAGGGGGTGCGTTGACAATTACAAAGAGGAACAAAAGATGGAGATGAGGGAGGAAAATCAAACAAGAAAATGGAGGTGCAAATAAGTTGACGAGAGCTCGGGGGAGGGGGGGGCCAAACGAAAGCAACTGCAACATGGACTTGGGCAGTTGCAGTCTGGGCTCGCGTAGGAAAGGGCGAGTCTGCGAAACAGTACTTCGTAGAGAACAGAAAGAGCGACCAGATAATGGGAAGGGGCCTGAGAAAGCAGCGACAGGGATAAGTAGGAGCGACTGTGGCGCTACTGTTGGCGGTGGAGGCAGACGTAAGAAGAACGCCGTCCGGCTTGGGCTTTGTTGCTCTATGGGCGGGAAAGAGGGATTGTGCAGGGAGGTATTTTTGGGGAAGAAAGCAGGACGGGTGCTGGGAAGGAACGAGGGGTGGCTCGGTGGGTAGGGGAATTAGGAGGAAAGTGAAAAGTGGCGGGAGAGCAGGAGCGACTCATACGTCGTAATAATCTGCACTCCGTGCTTTGTTATAAAACTAGGCCAGGGCAGGGGGGAGCCGGGAAGGCGGTGGGTGTTTTGCCCTGTGCTATTGCCTGCCCTGTCCTGTCGGGCTTTGACTGTCATATTAGTCCTGATCCTGCTTCTATTCCAGGCAGCTGACTGGTAATAACGATTGGGCGGCGGGCCGGGGTACGTGGGAACGGGACCTTAGTGCGCATGTGCGCATCAGAAGCGAGAGGGGCTTGAGGGGGATACGGGAAGCGACGTGCAGAAACGGTGCGGTTAAGCAGTGTTCCAAGGTTCCAGAGCCCCAGACGGTGTCTTTTGTCTCTTTTAGTGAAATTGCTGTTTCTAAAAAAAGGGAAAACGGTGGTTCTGGACTTGGACGACCAGCCTGGCCACACATGGGCCGCTACGAGTCGTTCTTTCCCGTTTTTGTTCTTGGTCAGTCGCGCCTGCTGTTTGCATTTCTTGTGGGTTCTTTTGTGCTGCTTTTCGCACTCTGTTCATGCTCTTTCCTCATGAACGCCGCGACGTCTTTCGTTCTTTGTCCCCGCCTAAGCACCCACAAAGTACCGTTAGCTTCCCAAAGCCTTCCAGTACTCTCAGTTGCCACCTGCAGACCCGCGCCTACGGGCCCAGTCAAATCAAGCGTTGCTGTCCATCCGATCTAGGCACGCACCAAACTGCACCAAGGCAAGCCGCGTGCAATTCCCAGTTGTTCTTTGTGGTGCCTTATGTTTATCACTTTTGAAAGTGAAGAGTGTTCTATTTGTCGCCTATTAAAAGGAAGGCCCACACCACGTTGAAAACGGAAACGAAACAGGGGTTTCCTTTGCAATGATTGTCTTATGTAGTTACTCTGTATGTTGTATACATTCCCCGGTTTCATTTCTTTGCAGTTTTTCACGCTTGTTTTCGACTGGGTAAAACCCGGCAGCATCTACGGAGTGAATCGTCCATAAGCCAAGACAAGGAAAAAGGAACGAAACACAGGGGCCAAAGACCAGAAGAGGGCTTCGCAGAAGGAAACGGCGGAAAGCCAAAAGCGGACGGCGAAAAGCAGTATACGGCGAAACAGAGCTAATTAGAGCGAGACCAGGCCAGACCGTGCATAATGCGAAGCATGCTTGCTTCAGGCCCGCAACAAAACCTCGAACCTGATCTTTCGTGGTCTGGGGAAATGTCTCGTTGTCGACATCACACGCCGGTTCTGCGATATTGGTATGATGCAAGGGCGGGACGAAACGACGCTCTGAATCTTGAAATGTCAAACTTCATAAACCAAATTTTGTCGATCGGAAGGGAAATTCATATGTCGATCCCAGCGGGTGGGTAGAGAAAAAAGGACTTGGGCGGGCCAAAGAGACGGGAACAGGCAAAGGACCGCTGGAGCCCAAGACGCGACGGAGGGGACTGCGAACCAGTCGCCGTTCAGACGGCAGAAAGCCGCAACCGGGTTTCTTGCGACGATCATTTTTGCCAGTGACGAAAGTGAACAAAACAAAAAATCACCAAGTTTGCGATTGTGGCTTGGAGGAAGGACTTTACGAAGAAAGGGCCCACAATGTGATGTGACGCCTGGCCAAGACTCGACATCAGACCTCAGCTGTCAATGAACCATCGCCAATGCAGCCACCCGAATAGACGCACGATGACATCTTCTTATCTGCTTGTGCCTAGACTTTTCTCGTGTTGCTCTTTGGTCCATGCAGCTCCAGCTCCAGCTCGATCCTAAAAGAGCTGACAGCTCTTCCGTAAAGCTCGTGAATCGTTGACGGCGGGTCTTGGGGGCTGTACGGAAACGTTGGTATTCTGCAGTTTTACGAGATCGACTTTAAATGCCCAGTGCCCCAGCCTCATTGTTCCGTTGGTACGATCCGTACGATACAGGAAAATGCGACGCCATGTACACAGTTGGAAAGCCGTTAGAACCAGACTGGACTAGAACACTGCCGTTTCCTGCCTTCTGTTTTGTCTCGCCTCTATTTCGTCCTTCCAATTTATTTTTGGCTGCGCCCAACAGGACGACGTCACAACAGCCTGCATTGGTGCCCGCCCTGCCGCCTTTCTCCCAGACACGGTTAGTCGCGGCAGGCCAACAACAACGACGAACAAGTGACAGAAGAAGGTCGACGAAAAGAGGCGACAGGGGTGCAATGCAGGATGGATCTGTGCTTCGCCTCGTTCGTTTCCTGATTGCCATGTCGTGTGTTTTTCTGAGGTTTTGGCGTATCGTGAAGGACGACGATGTGGCTCGGAACTCTGACAGTGGCCACAAACCAAAAAAGGAGCAACAACACCATGACATCAAACTACGGCATGTTCTTCCCGACTGACACGTGGGTTCTCGCCGAGAAGAATTCAGTTTGTCATACACAGACTACAGAGTATGAGGATCTGAAAACGCTTGGAAATGTTTGAAACGGCCGGCCACCTCAAGTACGAATATGGAGCCAGTCATGAACAAACAGCAGACAACCACCAGGACGGTGAGATCGCCGCGCCTGTTTCCATAATTAGACGTGCTCCTCTGACCTGTTTCTGGACCCCTCGCAGCCGGCCTTGCCTCCGGCCTTGCCTCTTGGCCTGCACATTGGCATCATTTGTTTCAGTGGCCTGCTTGTGTGGCCCAAACTGGGGCACATGGGGCACTTGGTGTGCATGAGCATGGTCTTGTGAGCAGTGCAGATGGAGGGGCATCTGGAGAGAACAGAGGCTGAGAGGCTAGTAGGCTAGGACAGGTGAGGAGTGAGATGCTGTTGAGTGAGAGAGGTTACATACGACGATATACTAGACACCAGACGGGGCGTCGATTGTCCAGTGGTCCGTCGGTGAAGCGCCTAACGGGCACAAAGGGTCGTCCGGAGTTTTCTGCCGAACGCCCTTTCCCCCTTGTTGGTTTCTCAGTATTGATGTCGCAATTACCTCCCATGCAAAAGTCGTGGGTTGTGCACGTTGAGGCAAGCGCGAGGCGCAGGACAGGAATGCGGAGAATAGGCAAAAGCACGGCGGAACACAGAGGAGACCATCCCTACCCGCTACCCGCGCGCCTGCCAGCGCAGAGGTTGAGAACAACGTAAGCCAACACTATCTTCGCTTTTTCGCATCCTTACGTCCTCGTATCCTTGCATGGTCTCACAGTCAGAATTTAAAGGTTGTCACAAGGATTTTAGGTGATGCTGAACAGGGTCTCAAGCATTTCAGGTGGTTAGAGTCGCCTTCCGGGACACTTTAGGCTGCAGCTTTAGGGCAGCTTCTGGGTGCTTGTGTTGCGTGTTCTGTGATTGGCTGAAATGATGACTAATAGTTAAGGAACTGGAAGTTGGTTGGGCTGGCCGCCGCTGGACGGGGCCCCGCTTTTTTAGCCGGGTACAGTAAGTCGGCCATCGACAACGAATTTTCTTGGTCCCCATCTTGACGTATATCGAGATATTCGATTTTGACGAGCGCCGACCACGGTCTACCACACAACGACACCACTTCTACCTCGACGAATACCGTACCCCATACACACACGCAACTTTTCACCCCACACGAACTGACACAATGGACGGGTATGTATCCGTCCCTCGACGATGCTGCGGCTGGTCCGGGCCCTGTCTCGTCCTCGCGACCGGCTGCCCCTCGTGACCTCCACGAACTTAATCGCTAACCCATTGTCTTCTTTCTGTCGCACAGCCTCACTGCTGCCGAGACCCGCGAGCTGGAGCAGCGCATGCAGAAGCGCCAGGTGAAGGAGTTTATCGGGGTACGCGCCGTCCTCCGGCTGGCAGATCCATTGATTCATATGTTAACGTCGGACGACAGGTCTTCTCCAACCTTGTCGACCATTGCTTCGCTTCGTGCATCGACGACTTCACGTCCAAGTCCGTGTCCACCCGCGAGAGCGGCTGCGTCACCCGCTGTGTGCAAAAGTACCTGGCCACGCAACAGCGCCTGTCGGAGCGCTTCCAGGAGAACACGGCCGAGATGAACCAGCAGCAGCAGCAGCGATAAGCGGGCGAATCGTGGCGCGGTGGCAGCGCGACAAGGACTCTTGTGGTGACGATGACAAAACATGAAAACGAAAAAGTACAACGCATGACCGGCGTCCGATAGACGGAGAGAGGCGAAAACGACCGACATACGATACCGGAGTTTGGTGGCAAGACGCCTCATTGTATTATAGCTACGTGAAACATGGGACATTGGCTTGGACATTGACATGGACGTGGACATGCATCTTCCATGAATATTGGGAGCGGTGACGACCCTCTCCTTTGAATAAGGACGAAAAGGCGACACGCAGGGTACGGCTCTCGTGACAGTGCAAGACAGTACATAGACAGCCCTTGGATGGACGAATCGCATCTTTTTTACATGACAAATGCTGCGTACCGGCTCCGATTCTCGCTATTTTGTGTTCTGTCACTCGTTCGACGTATCCTTTGTACGCCGTCATGTCGTATCTTTCGAGATACAATCTAAAACAAAAATGTACATACATGGCATGGAAAAGCAAACGTAACATAGCAGCCGGCATCCAAATCGCAAGACAATGGCAAAGATCAAAAACAAGAAAAGCCAAATAGAACATTAACACTTCCCCCCCCCCCCCGTCACACCCTTAGCGCTACTCCGTCTCGTCGTCGCTCAAGATAATCTTGACCACGCCCATCAGCTGCAACACCTTCTCCTCCAGCCGGTTCTCCGCCAGGCCCTTGAAGTGCTGCGCCTCGGCGGACCGCCACTCGCCCTCGCGGGCCCCCAGCGGCACCAGCCGCTCCCGCAGCAGCCGCGGCCGCGACAGCCAAAAGTCCACGCTCTCCAGCACCAGCGCACCGTCCCATGCCACGGGTGCAATGTCGCGCGCGTGGTTGACCCGCAGCACCTCGAGCACGCGGGTCAGCAGCGCCAGCGAGTGCACTTCGTTGACGGCCAGGAGCGTGAGCGGCGCGTCGCCGCCGCCGCCCTTGGCACTCTTGCTGGTGGTGTCGCGGAGGGTCGCGGCCGACGTGCGGCTGAGGCCCGGCGCCTCGAGCCGCTGCACGCTCGTCTCCAGCAGGGTGGGGAACTGGTTGAGCACATAGGCAATCTCCGGCGCAATGCTCGTGCCCAGCGCAATCAGAATGTTGAGCAGCAGCGGCAGCACGGCCTTGGCCCAGATGCTGTAGCAGCGCTGCGCCACCGCCACGTCCGAAAACGGGGACACCCCGGGCCGCCGCATGTGCGCCGCGAGCCCGGCCGACGTGAGGTGGCTCAGGAACCCGTCGCACGCCAGCTGCTCGGCCACCACCGGCAGGGCCGACAACTCGAGCAAGAAGAGCAAGCTCAGCTCGCCGTACACGGGGTCACGGTCGTCGACGAGCAGCTTGTCCGACCACGAAAAGAGCGACGTCGCCACATGCAGCACGTCGTGTGAGGCCATAATGTTGAGCACCTGCGACTGGCAGTCGCTCATACCCGGCGTGCTGAGGCACGCCTGCAGAACAGCCGTCAGCAGCGCCAGGTCCTCGGGCCGCGACTCGGTCTCTTCGTCGTGTACAATGGTCACCAGCGCGCGGAACCCGTGCGCCACCACGCGATCGAGGACGTTCAGCACGGTTTGTGTGGTGGACACCACCATGGCGCCGTCCTCGGATACCGTCCCACCTTGCGTCGCAGGTGCTTTCCCGGCGGCGGCGGCGGCGGTGCCATCGCCTTCGACACTACCGATAGGAGCATTTGCGCCGGCGCCGGCAACGGCACCGCTGCCGCTCTCGGCTTGGCCGCGCCGCGACCCGCGCAGCACAATGTAGAGGATGCGCAGCAGAGTGCGGAAGTAGGGCGTCCGCTCGACCGACCACGGATTCTCCACGCTGTGGATGCTCGTCCACACCGTCAACAGCAGCTGCGACACGTCTTTGGGCAGCAGCGCGTATTCCGCGAGCCGCTGCAGCAGCAACAACGCCAGGTTGGCCCGGCTCTGTGCAATCTTCACAAAGATGAGCTCGGGGCCTTGCCGGTTCTGGTTCGCCGCCAGGCACTGCTCGGCGAGCTGCAGCATGACCACCGGCAGCCGGCGGTTCTTGGGCAGCAGGCACACGCTCAGCTCCAGCAGCAGGACCTCCCACGCATGGAAGAGCGCAATCTGCGCGTCCACAAGTGACAGATTGACGTTGGCCGTCTGCATCTCCTTCTGGAAGCCCTTGCTGCCCGTCCAGGCCGCATCAAACGACAGCATGCGGTCCGCGAGGTCGAGCGCGTAGTAGAATTGCGGGCCGAGATCGCGGCGCTGCAGCATCGACCGCTTGAACTGGTCGAGCGAGCAGCCCGTATACCGGTTGCCAAAGTTGCGCTGGAAGTTGGCATGCAGTGACGCATTGTAGCCGCCGACCGCCACGCCGTCGCGAATGTAGTAGTCAATGTCCTGCACGACGTCGCGCGCAAACACTTCTTCGGTGCCCATCTGCCGCATGTGGTAGAGCTGCATGGCAAAGCTCTCGGCAATGTACGCCGCAATACGGGCCTCGTTGCACGCCGCCAGCGCATCGGTCTTGGCCGTCGTCGCGGCTGGTTGCAGGTCGCGCACATACGCGCGCATGCTGTCGAGGTAATCGTTGTCGCCGCGGATCGCAAAGATGGTCCACGGCCAGTAGTTTTGTGCGGCGGCGAAAAAGTCGAGCATGGCAAGCGACTCGACGTGCGGCAGGGTCGCTATGGATTTGAGAGCCTCCTTGGCCTTGGCCAGGGCTGAGTCGGACGACAGCTTGGTCACCTTGCCGTCGGTCTGGAGTGCCTCGCGCGGCGTCTTGCCCGTCAGGAGGCAGTTGGCCATCCACTGCTGCCGGTGCCGCAGAATCGTAGAAAAGAACTTCCAGATGCGCGCTGCCTCCATCGGCCGCTTGAACGGCTTGTCCATGGCTAGAAGCACGCCCAAAAAGGACCGGGATATTTGAGGGCCCAGGTAACCAAGCAGCGACGGCGGTTCGCTAGCCCGCGCGGCTGCTGTGACGATGAGGTCCGTCAGGAGATCGAGGGCCGGCCGCAGTGTGCTGTCGCTGAGCGCGCACAGGCGTGCCGGTAGCGAGGCGATCTGGAAGATTTGTGTCTCCAGCTCGGGCGCCTTGCCGGTCGTGTCGACGTGGTTGGTCACCTTGAGCAGGGCCGCCGACAGCTCGAGCGCGGCCACCACGCGGTCCACCGCCAGCTTGTACCGCTGGGGGTATAAAGTAGACTGCGGAAGCTCGAGGCCAAGGAGGAGGGAGGTGAGGAGGGGTTGGAAGCGCAGCGACGAGGATGAGGAAGACAGGAAACTCTTGATGATAAATTGGGCGGCCGGCTCGAAACAGGCGACCAGGCTTTCCTGCTCGGTCGGGGACTCGAGACTAGACGCGTTGACGACAATGTCTTGCAGGATGCCGATGGCGCCGGACACGAGGCTGGCACGCTGCACCTCGGATGCGAACTTCCAGGTGCTGGTGTTTTCGTACACGTCGACCACCGTCTGCGCAATGGAGAGGCTAACCTGCGTCAGAGTCTTGTCCGACGTGCCCAGCCAGATGCTGTCGTCGTTGCTCTTGTGCTGGTTGCTGCGGCCGTTCGGCTTGGTGGCCACTTTGCGCTGGACGGCGCTGTTCATGGCATTCTGCACGAGGCCGGAGAGGAAGCGGATGGACACGTTCAAAAAGTTGAAGCGCTCGGAAACAACGTCCGAGGCGCCAGTGAGAATGCACAGCCGGCCGGCACTCGACTCGGTGTTGAGCAGCTGGCACCGCGCCATGTAGGACCAGACACGGCCAGGGCAGAGGGGCAGGATGGCAAGCAAGAAGTCGACGCAGACAGCGAGCACGGCCATGCGCGACTCGTCGGTCTCGGCCGGCCCGTCCTGAATGAGGTTGTCGAGGGTGTCGCAGATGACAGACACAATGTCCTTGGCCTGTTCCAGGTCGCGGCTGGCCTCCTGGACAATGGCCAGTCCAGCCTCGGATGCGCGCGCCGAGTCCGCTGGCTGCCCGTTCTTGGACGCTTTCCGGACCTCTGAGCGCACCAGTGCCGCCAGCAAACGAATGGCCTCGGCGACTTCAGACTGCTGCAGAAAGCCGAGGACAGGCTCGTACATGTCGTCGGACAAGTTCGCGTCGAGGCGCTTGCCGAGGAGTGCGATCGTCGAGTGCTCGTAGTCGATGTTTACGATGCCGCTGCCGTCAATCATGAAGCGACCGTACGAGCCAGCGGGGATCACAGCGACCTGCTTCTCGTTGTAGTACGCCAACCGCTTCCGCGACGCTCCGGTTGGGAACAGGGGGATGTCCTCAGTCAGCTGCATCGTAGCAGTCGCATGGTCAACGTCGTCGATCATGGCGTAGCCCTCAAAGCCTGGCGGCAATGTAAATGTGAGGCTCGGTGTCTGGAGCAGCGACTCGACGACAATGTCTGAGAGCCCGGGTGTTGATGTGCATGCTGCGAGGAGGCGTGAGATGGAGACAAAGGGTGTGAATTCGTAGGGGAAGCGGTTCAGCGAGTTCTGCACGTAGAATTGCAGGAGACGGCTGTCCTTCAAAACAGCCCGGGCCACGGTCTCGTCGTCGTCGGGCAGATCCCACGTCTCGTGGCCGCCAGACAGGACAGACAGCAGTGCGCTGAGGGGGTCGGCCTGGTAGCCGACAATGGGGAAGCTGGCCGTGAGCAGCTCGAGGAAGACGAGGCGGATGCGTGGGCCTAGACCAGGGCGGAAGGCGGCGTCGGCGCCGCCACCGGCACAGTTGGCCATGGCGATGACGACGTCGTACACCTGGCACTGGTCGGTGGCCGCCATGGCAAGTCTCGGGACCAGTGGCTCGCCCTCTGCAGCATGAGGCAAGATTTGCTCGTTTAGGAAGCCATCGTAGCGCGCAGGTTCCAACGACACAATGCTGCCGACAGAGCTGCGGCGGCCACGCGGCTGCAAACTTTGGTGGATGTGGAAAGGCTGGTTGTCGAGCTCGAAGCCGTCCTGGGCCCGCTGGTTCTGGGCAAGATCCCGCCGCTCCGTACGC